CTCCTGGGTTCAGGCAATTCTCCTGCCTCAGCCTCCTGAGTAGCTGGGATTACAGGCACGCACCACCATGCCCAGATAATTTTTTGTATTTTTAGTAGAGACGGGGTTTCACCATGTTGACCAGGATGGTCTCTGTCTCTTGACCTCGTGATCCACCCGCCTCGGCCTCCCAAAGTGCTGGGATTACAGGCGTGAGCCACCGCGCCTAGCCCTGTATTTCTACTTTTTAGGCACTTACTAGGTGCTGGTTTTAAAACCTGTGTTCTTTATGTATATTATTGCATTCTTTCCTCATAACAGTCATGATTGATGCTATTCTCAGCCTCATTTTACATAGGAGACAACTAAGATAGAGTTTAAAAATATTCCCCCAAATTCACAAAGACAGTGGGTGTGCTAAATGTAAATTATGTGTACTTTACGTACTTTTTCTTATTCATTCTTCCTTACACCACCCCCAGATGATGTTACTGTTATTCACATTTCACATTTCTAAACACTGAGAATCTTGGGGGTTAAAACTCTACTCAAGCTAATAATGATTTTTAGTGTTAGAGGCAAGATTCAAATCCAGCCTTAATGAACTCTAAAGCTTGAGCATTTAATGGTCACATATTGCCTCCAAAGTCAGAACATGGATGTTAAATGTCTCATATATTTACATATATTTAAAATTAGACATTGTTTCTGTTTGAGTGTGTTTTCATAATCTAGTTTCTGCAAGGCTCCTAATGAAAAATGAGATGCTGTAAGTCTCTGTATTATCCTGTCTTTCACACTGTCATGTTAAGACCCCGTGTTCATCTGCACCCAATAATCAGATGCTGTGTCTTCAGTGAACGGGCAGGCATCTTGAAGCTAAGTCAAAAGGAAAATTAGATGACAGCTTTCCAAGCTAGTGTCTCATCTAAGTGCCAACTGCACTGTGACCACACTGTTTGCTAAGCACTCATTTGTGTGTACCAGTTGAAGACGGGCGTCCTATGTACAGAGTTCTCAGTTTTTCATGTTGTTTTGTTGTTGTTGTTACTGTTTTATTTGACTAGTAAATTCCAAAATTTATATTTCCCTGGATACTTTCTTTTTTTTTTTTTTTGCGATGGAGTTTCGCTCTTGTTACCCAGGCTGGAGTGCAATGGTGCGATCTCGGCTCACCGCAACCTCTGCCTCCTGGGTTCAGGCAATTCTCCTGCTTCAGCCTCCTGTGTAGCTGGGATTACAGGCACGCGCCACCATGCCCAGCTAATTTTTTTGTATTTTTAGTAGAGA